CTCAAAAAAAAAAAAAAAAGACTGGTGTCTCCCTACATTTATGTAGCACTTCATAATTCACAAATTGATCTCATCTCAAAACAACCCAGTGAAATATAGTAGTGGAGCTTGCGTTTTCAAATGATGAAATTAGCTGGACATGGTGGCACATGCCTGTAGTCCCAGCTACTCAGGAGCCTGAGGTGAGAGGATCACTTGAGCACAGGTATTCAGTGCTGTAGTGCACTCTGATCATGCCTGAGAAGAGCTTCTGTACTCTAGCCTGGGCAACATAGCGAGACTCTGTCTCTAAAATAAAATAAATACATAAAACGATGAAACTAAAACTCAAAAAGTTAGGCAAGTTGGCCGAGAACTCAGGACTAATAAAAGATAGGTGCAGGCTAAAGACTCAGGTCATCCGATTTTTATGCTGGTTCTCTTCTCAGTGAATTTTTCAGCTTTTTATTTATTTATTATTTATGTATATATATATTTTTAAAAATATGACGTACTTAATGATAAAGTCCTTATGTAACTTTAAATTACATGCCTTTCAAAATACGGTTAGGCATAGGACATTTTTCATGGCTTAAAAAGATGGAATATGGCCAGGCGCAGTGGCTCACGCCTGTAATCCCAACACTTTGGGAGGCCAAGGCAGGTGGATCACCTGAGGTCAGTAGTTTGAGACCAGCCTGGCCAACATGGTGAAACCCCGTCTCTACTAAAAATACAAAAATAGCCGGCGTAGTGACGGGCGCCTGTAATCCCAGCTACTCAGGGGGCTGAGGCAGGAGAATCGCTTGAACCCGGGATGCAGAGGTTGCAGTGCACTGAGATCGCGCCATTGCACTCCAGCCTGGGCAGCAAGAGCAAAACTCCGTCTCAAAAAAAAAAAATGGAACAAATTTGGGGGCTGTGAAGTTCTCTCCTACTTCTCTCTGTTCCTGTTTGATGTCCTCAATGTTTAGGGGAATGTCTCTTGAAAATCACTCTTAATTTTCATCAGAAATTATAGATAAAGATAACTTTTTCTGGGAGTGAAAATTTCACTCCTAGTTTCTCATATGTAAAAGTGTTTTTTGTTTGTTTGTTAATTAATGCTTATGGAAAGTTATCGCTATTTTAGAAACCTGTATGTAAATATATTTTAGCTAATAGTTGGGATGCCTTCTAAAAGTCAGTTTGATGAAGGATTCATATGTAGGTCTGTGTGTAATGATTAAATAAATGTATCAACCATTGAGTACCAAAAAGAACTTAATATACTATTAATTTAAAAAGCCTTCCAAATACTTACATTGTGAAGTATTTGAAATGTAGTTGGTCATGCAAGAACTGAGAGCTTAGTCAACACTTGAATTCAGAAGTGGTCATTAAATATACATAGTTAAGAGAGTAATAGAATCACTTTGGCCAAATGGTCATGATATTCAAGTGCAGACCTTACTCCCAACTGTAGGATTAAACTGGTTATCATTAAGAAGTTAGTAGAATCTGGCTGGGCACGGTGGCTTACACCTGTAATCCCAGTGCTTTGGGAGGATCACCTGAGGTCAGGAGTTCAAGACCAGCCTGGCCAACATGGTGAAACCCCATCTCTACTAAAAATACAAAAATTAGCTGGGTGTGGTGGCACGTGCCTGGAATCTCAGCCACTCAGGAGGCTGAGGCAGGAGAGTTGCTTGAACTCAGGAGGCAGAGGTTACAGTGAGCCGAGATTGCACCACTGCACTTCAGCCTGGGCAACAGAGCGAGACTCTCATCTCAAAAAATAAAAGAAAGAAAGAAAGAAATTAGTAGAACCTTTCTTTATTTGCTGTGTTTTTTTTTGTTTTTGTTTTTTTTGTAACTTTAAACACCGAGTTGCAAGCAATATGTAGTAAAAATTTTTCCCCAAGCATAAAAATGTAATCATTTCTTTGAAAAACTCTCAAGTTGGGCAAGCCTTTTAAAACAGGCTCTAAGAGTCTAATGGGTAAAGCAGGGTATGCCTCGCATTGCTCTAATTGCCAGAGCTGGGGGGGTCTGTTCATCTGTGCCTCTGAAGCCTGATGCAGATTCGGGAGCTGGTTTGGTTTCGCTCCCTTCTCCAGGCTTTTTTGTGTCAAAGAAGGGGCTCCAAAGCCAAAGCACAAGGCATGGATTTTTGGAGTCAGAATGCATCCTGTCAGTGCCCATGCAGTATTTCTGTTAGGAGCGAAAACTGGTTTGACAATAAAGCCCCCAAATTCTGAAGAGGTCCCGTGCTACTTCAGCTCATCCGGCTCACTGTGGGTTGCTAACTGTCTGACTGTCTCCGAGCTTGCGCTACTTACCAATGCTCATTTCACCCCTCTCTTTTCCCTTTCCTACTCTTGCTTCCTTTGCTATATCTGTGTGTCTTTAATGGTAAGACTAAAGAAAGTCTATCCACGTTATAATAAATAAATTTCATATATTTTTAGTAAACCAAATTGTTGTATATATTTTTTGGCTGCCTTTGTCCCTCTGTGTCTTGCTTTTGTTTTGTAAAATATTCTCAGCAGTATATATATATATACACACACACACAAACACATACATATATTTCCTTTTTATATCTATGTACAGCAAATAACTTCAGTGCAAATTTAGTCTCCTTACTGTATTTGCATTTCTCTTCATGGTTCTAATATTTGGTTCTTGTTATCTTGCATTTTTAAAGCTTGCCCAGTAACACTTTAAGGTATTTGCTTCATTACTGGAATTTATTTCTTATATAAGTAGTAAGGAAAGAATCTAGATAAAATGTTCCCTTGGGAGATGGAGAGAGAGAGATTTCTGGTCCCTCTATCCCTTCTTTCATATTATGTTTATTTTCCCTTCTTGATTTTCTTTTTTTTTTTTTTTTTGGTAATACCAAGTCATTCCAGCTAATGGCTTAATACAATTTGTGACTCAGATGTCAGTAATGTTGGCATAAACGATGGTTTATTTTCGCCCCTCCTGGTGGTTTGCACGGTGGAATTGGGGCTTAGAGATGGCTTAAGAAGCTAGCGATGACGATGGGTCGCAAAGATGAGCTGCCAGAGTCTGCTTACCCTGTCATCTGGTATATAAATCACAAGTCAGATTTCTTAACCATGCACGTGTTGGTAACTTGTATAAGAAACATTCTGGCAGCCATCTCCTTAGAAAGCAGCCAGACTGAGAGGTTGTGTGCGTATGTGATTATGAGCAGAGTCTGTTTGGTGGCCCCTGAGAAGGACACCTGTCCCTTTTTCCTTCTGCCAGCTGGAGGTTTGTTTATTCCTCCCCAGCACTGAGCATCTGTGGGATCTTGGCCAAATAGAGTCCCGATTATAGGGAAATCTAAATCTCTTCTTGACAACCCCAAATCCTGGTATTTTTTTAGTAAAAACATTTAAAATCACATTTTTCAAAGTTGAGTTGGATTTATAGCAAGTGAAGCTCTGGAAATCATTTTTACAACACAATCAATTACTAAATACGTTTAATAGAAACATAAGAAACCCGGGAATTTTTTTTTTTTTAGACGGAGTCTTGCTCTGTTGCCCAGACTGGAGTGCAGTGGCACTATCACAGCTCACTACAACCTCAAGCTCCTGGGCTCAAGCAATCCTCCCACTTCAGCTTCCCTAGTAGCTGGGACAACAGGCATGCGCTGACATGCCTAGCTTTTTTTTTTTTTTTAAGTTTTTGTAGAGGCGGGGGTCTCACTGTGTCAGCCAGGCTGGTCTCGAACTCCTGGCCTCAAACGATCCTCCTGCCTTTGCCTCCCAGAGTGCTGGGGTGACAGGCATGAGACACCATGCCTAGCTGAAACCCAGGCTTTATTGCATTTTTGGATGACATCAGATATTTTTACTTCCCAGACGGCAAAAAGCGCCTGTACATTCCTTTCATTTAAGTTGCTGTTTTAACCTAAGCAACAGCCTATGTCCTAACAAGGTGTTACTAGCTTAGTAATTTACCTGCACTGATGCCCACCCGTTTCCAGTGCGTGAGTAATGTTGGAGTTTTTAATTCAAGAAATTTCTGTCTCAGATTCTTTTCTTACTACTTCTCATTCTGGAGTGTAAGTGTAAGCCACACAATGAGATAAATACAACACTTATATTTTCATCTTTGTGTAGAGTTTCAATTTGCCATAAGTCATAAGATTTCTGTAACTTGTGTGCCGGATATCTTGGGTCTCACTAACCAGACATACATTCTGCCGTTTCTAACCTGGGCCTCAGTTTCCTGTTCCTCCAGTTGGTTCCAAAACAGACAACCAGTACATCCTCTGCATTTTCCCAGTTCCTTCGAATAGCAGCAGGTGTGATTTGACTTCTTGTGAAGGTTATGACCGCTCACTGATGATTGTCTCTGCTGATGCAGTATCTTAGGTTGTATGGCTTGTGGCCTAGCCTAGGAAATTTTTCTCCAGTTTTGTTTTTCCTAAAGTATTTTTGTCATTTTCCTCTCGTGTTTCACACTGCATGTCGCTTAAAAACGTTTTATTGTAAAATAATTTCAGATTTCCAGAAGAGTTGCAAACATAGTGCATCTAGTTCTCATAGACCTTCCCCCAGATGCCCCTAATTGAACATCCTACACAGCCCTGGCACAGTTATCAAAAAACTAAGAAATTACCATGAGCAGCATACTCTCAACTGAAACAAGGGACTTCATTCAGATTTCACCAGTTTTCTCACTAATGTCCTTTTGTGTTCCAGCATCCAAACTAGGATCCTGCCTTGCAGTTCGTTGTCGTATCTCCTTCGTCTCCTCTGTATGTGACAGTTTCTCAGCCTTCTCTTCTCTTTAATGACCTTGGCATTTTAAAATGCAAGTTTTTATAACAAAACTTTAAGTATGGCCAGGCACAGTGGCTCACACCTGTAATCCCAGCACTTTGGGAGACCAAGGTTGGCGGATCACCTGAGGTCAGTAGTTTGAGACCAGCCTGGCCAACATGGTGAAACCCGGACTCTACTAAAAATACAAAAATTAGCTGGGCCTAGTGGTGTGAGCCTGTAATCCCAGCACTTTGTGAGGCTGAGGTGCACAGATCACTTGAGGTCAGGAATTCGAGATCAGCCTGGCCAACATGGTGATACCCCATCTCTACTAAAAATACAAAAATTAGCCAGGCATGGTGGTGTGCACCTGTAATCCCAGCTACTCGGGAGGCTGAGGCAGGAGAATCGCTTGAACCCAGGAGGCGGTGGTTGCAGTGAGCAGAGATCACGCCACTGCATTCCAGCCTGGGCACCAGAGCGAGATTCTGTCAAAAAAAAAAAAAAAAAAACCCCACAACTTTAAATAGGTACACATATGGAAACACATGCTAGCCTGCTCTTTGGGCTTTTTCACTGTGTCCTGCGTCCCTCCCTGTTCCTCCTTCATCTTTCCCTTTTTCTTCCCACTCCCACAGCCCGCTCATTAACGGCCTCACCCCTGCCCTCTGCTGATAACCAAGTACTGAGTCAGGCTGAGAACATAACCAGGCGTTCTGAGCTCCTCCTTCCAGGCTCCCCATGCTTTCATTCTGCACCTGAGAAAACCATTGTAACATTTTCTGTTCTAGCCTTTATGGAATTACCACTAATTTCTATGAGCTAATTTAATGTCCTCTTCAGAGTCTATGGCTGGAAAGTAATAATCCTTCAGTTTGAGTAATAATAATCATCTTTACTACTGTTTTGGCCCATAACATCTTAAACACCCATTCTTGGAACTTGCTAAAAAAGTTACTGAAATTAGTGAGAACCAATTGATATTTCCAGCATAAAGCTGCTCTGCATGACATCTGTATAACTGCTTTGCATGTGTGTATTTTAATTGTTATTATTGCTTGGTAATAATTTATTCAAGAATTAACAAAATTCAACTCGGGGTTAGATTTTAGTAGAATATTGGGGAGGGTGCAACCGGTTTTTCTTTTTTAATTCTACCTCTTCCAAATTTATTAACTTGTTTCTTTAAGTTCAAATGGATACAATCATATGCAGACTCTGGCATGTCTATGCATAGGTAAACTTTTTCTCCCCTCACAGTAAGTAAAATTTCAAGTAAAATTTTGTGAGCATAATAGCCTTAACTCCCTATAAAACTTCCCTGTTTTATATATATGTATTTTTTTACATTAACTAACATTAATTATATGTTTGTTCTAGAACACTTGTACACTGACCAGTCTTTCGGTTGATTTGTGGAACTTTTAACTCTTTGGTCTTTTAGAGAATCCAAGTTCATAAAAGACGCAGATGAAGAGAAAGCTTCCTTGCAGAAATCCATCAGCATAACTAGTGCCTTACTCACAGAAAAGGATGCCGAGCTGGAGAAACTGAGAAATGAGGTAGAGTACCACACAGGGTGCACGAGCTTTCACGCTGCCTCCTTTTGTTCAAACACCCAGCCTAAGCTAAACAACTGTGTTTCAGGTCACAGTGCTCAGGGGAGAAAACGCCTCTGCCAAGTCCTTGCATTCAGTTGTTCAGACTCTAGAGTCTGATAAGGTGAAGCTTGAGCTCAAGGTAAAGAACTTGGAGCTTCAACTCAAAGAAAACAAGAGGCAGCTCAGCAGCTCCTCAGGTAAAGGACACCTGCCCAGTGCTGCTCTGTACACCGCGCTTCCTCCCGAGGAGCCCTTTCTAGTAGAGATGCTCTTCGAAGACCGCTCTCATGCTGCCCTGACCCTGACTCTCCTCAGGGTCTTCCACTACTTAATCAATCAAGGGCTAACCCCACGTGCCTGCCATCCCTATTCCTGGGCCTTCTTGTGGTCTGTCAATGTTGTCACAAACCTACGATGATGACTGCCTGCTGCCATCCAGACTGAGGGGTCTTAAAGTACACAGCAGTGCAGGAGAAGAGGTGGTCCCTTTGGTGAAGAAGGGTGAATTGCCTGTGTACATTCAGATGGATGTGACAGGCATTCTTACCCAGGAGTTAGCAGGCCTGAGGGAGAGCACGACGTGAAGGGCAGGGCTGGTGTCTGTGAGACCCTGTAGGGTCCCGCAAGGGGACAGGAACTCATCCACATGTGCTCAAAGTGGTGCATCTGGGAAGTCCACAGGAAAATGAGTTTTGAACACAGGCCCTTTCCCTGCAGTTTAGATTGTGATTAAAAATATACATCTCTTCTCCCTCCACTTTTTTTTTTTTTCTCAAATACAAGGTAATACGGACACTCAGGCAGACGAGGATGAAAGAGCCCAGGAGAGTCAGGTAATGTTCCTGCCTTATTGCTTTGCTTTCTTGCTATTTTTCAAAATCATTGAGTCTTTTGGTTTATTTTCCTTCTCATTTAATGCCTTTTGTATCATTTAGTCTTTTGAATGGGTAATACATTCCTCTAGTCCAAACATTAAACAGAATTAAACATATATACATTAAATATCCAAACTTTCTCTCTCTTCTGCTCAGTTCCCAACCCTGCAAACAGTTAATTACTGTTATTAGTGTCTTTCCTTTTCAGAGATTTTTTAAAAATGTGTATATAAGCCAACACTAATACAGTCTTCCCTCCCTTTTGTAATGTAGATAATGGCATACTCTAGATAAACCGTTCTGCACTTATCTTTTTTATAGCTATGTAGTGTTCCATTACGTGGATTTACTATAATTTAGTCAGTTCCCTATTGGTTGACAATGACCCTTGGGATGTTTCTGATCCTTTGGGTGTATTATAAACAATGCTGTAAGGAATTATCTTGGGCAGCTATCATTTTACGTATTTGTATTTCTGCAACATGAATTCCTAGAAGTAGAATTGCTCTGTCAAAGGGTTTGTTACTCATCTTAACCTTAGAAAGACTGATTTCTTGAAAACTCAGTCTCTTAAAGCAAAAATTAACAAAACAACTTTAGTTTTAAACTAAAAATGGGATTAGGCCAGGAATGGTGGCTCATCCCTGTAATTCCAGCACTTTGGGAGGCCAAGGTGCGATGATTGCTTGAGCTCAAAAGTTTGAGACCAACCTGGACATAGCGAGACCTCATCTCTACAAAAAAAAAAAAAAAGGCCTGCAGCCTGGGTGACAGAGCAAGACCCTGTCTCAAAACAATTAATTAATTTAAAAAAATGTTAAGGGCCTGGGTCAGGTGCAGGGGCTCATGCCTATGATTCCAGCTCTTTGGAAGGCTGTGGCAAGCGGACTGCTTGAGATCAGAAGATCGAGACCAGCCTGAGCAACAATGGCAAGACCTTATCTCTACAAAAAATAAAATTACTGAGGCATGGTGACATGCTCCTGTAGTCCTAGTTACCCCAGAAGCTGAGGCAGGAGGATCACTTGAGTCCAGAAGGTTGAGGCTGCAGTGAGCCATGATCATGCCACTGCACTTAGGCCTCACTGACAAAGGAAGAACCTGTCTCAGAAAAAAAAAAAAAGGTGGGGTGGGGAGCCCGGGCACAGCAGCTCACACCTGCAATCCCAGCACTTTGGTAGGCCAAGGTAGGCAGACCACTCGAGCCCAAGACCAGCCTGCGCAACATGGGCACTCCAGCCTGGGTGACAGAGCAAGGCCCTGTCTCAAAACAGACAAAAATTTGTAGAAAGGGATTATATAAAGGCAAACTATTCTGTATTTGGAAATATAATTGTATACAGCAATAAACATCCATCTTTTAATTTTAATAATATATTTTGTATGTATTAGTCATGTTCAAAATTCAAAAGTACAAAAGCCACATTTTATTTTTAAATAAAAGAAAAACTCACCTTGAGGTTTTAGTTGCCAGACACCTCCCTTGAGGGGCATGAAACGATTCAACATTGTACAAACTTCCCATGGATTAGCATTGTCCTCTTTGTATGTCTACCGGGCTTAATAACTAACAGTGTCTTCTCTTCCCCCTTCCCTTCTGCTTCGGTCTGTTTCATCTGCTGCTGACAACACTTTTCTTCCCATCAGCAAATGGTTCGTTTCATGTTTCCTAATTTGCGTGCACACGTGTGTGTGTGTGTGTGTGTGTGTGTGTGTGTGTAGTTTCCCACTATACTTACATCCGTATTGTGGCTTTTTCTTCTTCCTGAAATGGAGCTCTTAACATGATGATGACTTAGAAAATGCACTTTGAGAAGTGAAGATAGACTCAGTAGGTCTGCCTTCATAGGTGGCCTCCATGATGCTGGGATATGCTGCAGAGAAGGACTGCAGTGACTGCTAACTTTGCTTCATAACTCCCCAGCAGGAGAAAAAGACCAAATATTTCTTTAAAAAGTAAAATATTTTTGTATATATGTATGTGTATATCTATATATATTTTAAATATTATAAAGTGGGTTCTTTCAATTTAGAGAAATGAGATGTTTTTATTATTTGTAGAAGGAAGAAATTTTTTGTTTTTAAGTCAAAATGCCCTTCGTTTGAAAGGAAATGTTCAGGACAAGAGCAGTCCCTCCTGTTGGCCATCTTGTTGTCCCTGCTGCCCCAGGGCCCTTGGCACAGGTGCTCGCCCTCTGGGTGGTACGTGAACACCGCCTAGTTGGCGTGCTCGGCTGTCTCTCCTCGGCTGGGAGGGAGCTTTAGCTTTCTCCATTTTCCCTGAGGACATGTTTACTTATTGCTCCACCATTGCCAGTCAGTTGATAAATGACAGTCTGAAGGAAATTTCCATGTGACTTTTTCAAATCTATAGAACAGAAAAATCCTGGATGTATTGTAGAGTTTAATGGAAGAACTAACCTTTTTATGCAGTGTGTGTGTGTGTGTGTGTGTGTGTGTGTGTGTGTGTGTATTTATCTGAGATGGAGTCTTGCTCTGTTGCCCAGGCTGGAGTGCAGTGGTGTAGTCATGGCTCACTACAACATCCGCCTCCTGGGTTCAAGCGATTCTCCAGCCTCAGCTTCCTGAGTAGGTGGGACTACAGGCATACACCACCACACCTGGCTCATTTTTGTATTTTTACTAGAGACAGGGTATCACTATGTTGGCCATGTTGGTCTTGAACTCCCGACCTCAGGTGATCTGCGTGCCTCGGCCTCCCAAAGTGTTGGGATTACAGGCGTGAGCCACCATGCCCGGCCAATATTTTTTATGTGGTAGAATGAAAACAAACTTGTGCCCATATATTCAGAAATGTAAGATTATGACTTTTGGAGAATGCAAGATTTTTCCTATTTAAAAAAAAATGTTTCTTATAGTTTTTCATGAACCAATAGCACTCCACCAACACACAGACTTAGATGTTTAGGAATAATTTCATCTGGGCACGGTGGCTCATGCCTGTAATCCCAGCACTTTGGGAGGCCAAGACTGGCGGATCACGAGGTCAGAAGTTTGAGACCAGTCTGGACAATATGATGAAACCCCGTCTCTATTAAAAATAGAAAAATTAGCCGGGTGTGGTGGCACATGCCTGTAGTCTCAGCTACTAGGGAGGCTGAGGCAGGAGAATCACTTGAACCTGGGAGGCAGAAGTTGCAGTGAGCCAAGATCGAGCCATTGCACTCCAGCCTGGGCAACAGAGCAAGACTCCGTCTCATAAATAAATAAATAATTTCATGGCCCAGCACAGTGGCTCACTCCTGTATTCCTAGCACTTTGGGAGGCCGAGGCGGGCAGATCACCTGAGGTCAGGAGTTTGACACCTGGCCTGGCCAACATAGTGAAACCCTGTTTCTACTAAAACTACAAAAATCAGATAGGCATGGTAGCACGTACCTGTAATCCCAGCTACTCAGGAGGCTGAGACAGGAGAATCACTTGAACCCAAAAGGCAGAGGCTGCAGTGAGCTGAGATCCTGACACTGCACTCCAGCCTAGGCAACAGAGCGAGAAAAAAAAAAAAAAAAGAATAATTTTGTTTGCCTCAAAAAGAAATGAAGTTTTACCCATGTTATACCTAGAAACATTTAATGAAGTATAATTTAAATGTTTTTTTAAATATAAAATAGCATCTACTCAGGAACATTTGAAGAAATCTGAAAGGTATGAGGGGGTAAAAGAAACTGCCATAGTCTTACCACCTAGACATAGCCTCATTTAAGTTCAGCTCTTTACTCACACAATCTCAGCATGCCTGTCCTTGGGGAGAGTGAAAAGCATGGGTTCCTAATAGCCACTGTTGGCCCCTTCTGCACATTTTGCTGCCAGAGCTTAAAGGTATAAACTTCATGACTTCTTGATGCTTCAGTTTATATATATTCTTGACATTTTACACATTTTTTTTTTTTAAACAAATCAGATTGATTTCCTAAATTCAGTAATAGTGGACCTTCAAAGGAAGAATCAAGACCTCAAGATGAAGGTGGAAATGATGTCAGAAGCAGCCCTGAATGGGAACGGGGATGACCTGAACAATTATGACAGGTATTTCATATGAAGACATACTGATTGCTGTAATCCCAGCACTTTGGGAGGCCAAGGCGGGCAGATCACTTAAGGTCAGGAGTTCGAGACCAGCCTGGCCAACATAGTGAAACCTCGTCTCTACTAAAAATACAAAAGTTAGCCAGGTATAGTGGCGCATGCCTGTAATCCCAGCTACTTGGGAGGCTGAGGCAGGAGAACTGCTTGAGCCTTGGAGGTGGAGGTTGCAGTCAGCCAAGATTGTGCCACTGTACTCCAACCTGAGTGACAGAGCAAGACCTTGTCTCAAAAAAAGCCATACTGATTGGAACCTTAGTTTCATCAAAATAAATATGTTTTTAAAATCAGCTTCTCTAGGGGATTGTAAAAAGACGCAACAAAAAAAACCAATTGTTTTGCGGTTCCTTTGCCATAAATAGATTTCCGTAAATCTGGCAAGTGAGTGAGAGGAGACTATAAATGGTTTGATGTGAAAATTTTAAATGTGAGGCTGGCATGGTGGCCACACCTGTGATCCCAGCACTTTGGGAGGCCGAGGTGGGCAGATCACCTGGGGCCAGGAGTTCGAGACCAACTTGACTAACCTGGCAAAACCCCATCTCCACTAAAAATACAAAAAAATTAGCTGACAGGGGGTGGTGTGCGCCTGTAATCCCAGCTACTCAGGAGGCTGAAGCAGGAGAATTGCTTGCACCCAGGAGGCGGAGGTTGCAGTAAGCCAAGATCATGCCACTGCACTGCCAGCCTGGGTGACAGAGTGAGACTGCATCTCAAAAAATCAAACAAACAAAAAAACTTTAAATGTGGAATAATGTACTACTTATATTGGAGGCTCACAGACTTGACCATAGTTAGTTCATGCTTAATTTTTTAAATTCTTTGCAAGTGTTCTTGTCTCTTCAGTTTCTTCTTACTCATTTTCTGATTTCACACATTGACATTTGTAGCGATGATCAGGAGAAACAGTCCAAGAAGAAACCTCGCCTCTTCTGTGACATTTGTGACTGCTTTGATCTCCACGATACAGAGGATTGTCCTACCCAGGCACAGATGTCAGAGGACCCTCCCCATTCCACACACCATGGCAGTCGGGGTGAGGAGCGCCCATACTGTGAAATCTGTGAGATGTTTGGACACTGGGCCACCAACTGCAATGACGACGAGACCTTCTGATGAAGCCTCAAGTGGAGGACACGGCTCTCTCAGATGCACTCGCACTGACACAGCGTAACACCAGCATTGTGTGTGCAGACTCCAAGAGAACTCATGGTATTTTTTACCCCATCAGCAAATCTAGGAAAATATTTTGATCTTCAACAAATTGCCCTTTAGTCTCCCCCTATGAGTTAGAAGAATAAATATTTAGTAGGTGAGTTTTCACCTCGAATTTTGTTTTCTTGATTTTCAAGTTTGAAGACATTGCACCAGATGCCATTACATTTATTGTCCCTAGACCTCATAGAAAAATCCCTACCCTTATAATACCTTATTTAAGTAACTTTAAATTATGCCGTTACTTTTCATATTTGCACTAAAATATTTCCAGGCTGCATTTGTATATTTAGATTTTTTGGTTAAGCTTTGACACTGGAATGAGTTGAAAAAATGTGCCATTTTGCATTTTCATCTACTCATTTAAAGTATTTTATTCTTATTCAAAGAAATATCTGAGCTCTTTGCACTACCTGTTATCAGTAGTGCCTTTGTTTCAGGCTTGATAATACTTAGGTGTGATTATAAAATCATGAAGCAGGTAAAGGGAGGGGAAAGCCCCCAAACTGCTGTGGGGACATTTGATAATCTATATGCTGCACCCACTTAATCTACTGTGGTGTTTTGTTTATTAGTTTTCCATAATTTCAGCTTCTATATATTATATGTATATATTTTTTAAAAATCTATATTTTGGGAAAAAAACATACACAATGTGTCTTTCTTTTTGGATATTTACCTTTTTGAAAAAGAAAACACTTAAAATAATCATTAGGACATAACGGACTAGGCCAGACATAGCATCATGCGGCTTTGCAACATTTTCATTTGTTTGTTTTCCTTTTATTTCTTAAACAGATTTAAATAACTGGAGGAATTTTCTCCAATTTTGTTTCCTTCTCTAGCAGGTATCCCCAGCAGTCAGTTAACAATAAGCCAGTATAAAACGCCTAAATTAACCAGTCTACAATCTTCCTTTACAAGTTTTTTTACTGTTTTTAGATGAATGTACGATGAGAAATTCAACATTAATAATTTTGGATTTTCTTATCACAAAAAAGAAAATGAAGGACCTCAAAGCACCAGAACAGTTTATTGACCAGTTTGAATCTATTTATCTTCATTTGAATGTCTTCTAGAATATGTAAAAAGGAATAAAATGTATCTTCCATGCCACATGTACAATAAGAACTTCTATAATTGTATATATGCCTTTGATGTATTTTCCCCTCAAGATGATCAACTGTATGTTTGACAGTGAATATTAAATCTGTTACCAGTTGAAATTTTTGGTTATAAATGTAATACAAATTGTTTCACAAACAGAAAACATGTAAAGCAGTATTAAAATTTGGCCAAACAAGTGTTCTGTATCTACTTTAATAAATGGTTATTCGTTTTTGTTTTGTGGGTTTGGTTTTGTTTGAGACAGGGTCTCACTCTGTTGCCCAGGCTGTGGATTGCTGCAGCCTCCAACTCCTGGGCTCAACCAATCCTCTCGCCTCAACCACTGAAGTAGCTAGGACTACAGGCAAGTGCCACCACACCTTGCCAATTTTTTTTTTTTTTAACCCGAGACGGAGTCTCGCTCTGTCGCCAGGCTGGACTGCAGTGGCTCAATCTCAGCTCACTGCAAGCTCCGCCTCCCGAGTTGACGCCATTTTCCTGCCTCAGCCTCTCCAGTAGCTGGGACTATAGGCATCTGCCACCACGCCCAGTTAGTTTTTTGTATTTTTAGTGGAGACGGGGTTTCACTATGTTAGCCAGGATGGTCTCGATCTCCTGACCGTGATCCGCCCACCTTGGCCTCCCAAAGTGCTGGGATTACAACGCCTGGCTAACTTTTTAATTTTTTTGTAGAGTGAGTCTCCCTATGTTGCCCAGGCTGGTTTTGAACTCCTGGGTTCAAGCGATCCTCCCACCACAGCCTCCTACAGTGTTGGGAGTACAGGTGTGAGCTGTACTTGCCCAGCCAATAAATGGCTATTCTTTTTTGCTAATGGTAGTAAACTGATATTCTCAGGTTTGTCATAATGGTTTTACTTCAAATGATCAAACCCTATACAGTCATATAGCAATTTCTACTGCAGTCTTGTTACTAAATGGTTTTTAAGAAATTGGTGGCTGGCTGGGCGCGGCGGCTCACGCCTGTAATCCCAGCACTTTGGGAGGCAGAGGTGGGCAGATCACGAGGTCAGGAGATCAAGACCATCCTGGCTAACACGGTGAAACCCCATCTCTACAACAAATATAAAAAATTAGCTGGGTGTGGTGGCGGGCGCCTGTAGTCCCAGCTACTTGGAAGGCTGAGGCAGGAGAATGGCGTGAACCCCGGAGGCGGAGATTGCAGTGAGCCGAGATTGCACCACTGCACTGAAGCCTGGGCGACAGCGAGACTCCATCTCACCAAAAAAAAAAAAAAAAAAAAAAAATTGGGGGGCTGGGCGTGGTGGCTCACACCTGTAATCTCAGCACTTTGGGAGGCCAAGGTGGGCGAATCACGAGGTCAGGAGATTGAGACCATCCTGGCTAACACGGTGAAACCCCGTCTCTACTAAAAAAATACAAAAAATTAGCCAGGCGTGGTGGCACATGCCTGTAGTCCCAGCTACTCGGGAGGCTGAGGCAGGAGAATTGCTTGAACTCAGGAGGCAGAGGTTGCAGTGAGCCGAGATAGTGCCACTGCACTCCAGCCGGGGTGACAGAGCAAGACTCCGTCTCAAAAAAAGGTAAGCTATGCACTCAAAGAAGGAAATTTTCATCTTTGACCAGATCCCAAAAAGCCCATTTCCACCCCAAAGTATTGAAACGCATATATTCTACTAATATTAATAATTTATTGAGCAATTAAGTTCCAGGAACCCAGCTAAGCCTCTCACGTGGACTACACGATGAAATTCATGTCCTCTTTGGTCCTCACTACAACTCAGAGGTAACATGATTTTACTGAGGTACAGTAATTTTACTGAGGCAAGTGGTGGGACCTGGATTCCAGAAGCAATACTGTTTTGTGTGAAATGCCACATCGCTGTAAAAGTCTGTTAGGAAGGGATTACCCCCCTCCCCCCCAAAAAAAAGTCCACTCAAGATTCCCTCGACTCCTCACCATACTCATACATTTTAGCTCACAAATCAAAACAGCCGTGATTAGTGCAAAGCTAAGAACCTTTGACTGCTATAATTTAAAATATTTGAGCAGTGGGTGGCGTGCTTCCAGCTACTCCGGCGCTGAGGTGGGAGGATCACTTGAGCCCGGGAGGTAGAGGCTGCAGTGAGCTATGATCACGTTACTGCACTCCAGCCTGGGCGACAGGGTGAGACCGTCTCAAAAAAATGTTTTTTTTTTTCTATCCAAATTTGGCCTTAAGATATCATCTTACAGCAAGTACCTTTGCTGCAAATAAAAATTCGCGATTTTTAAAAGGGACAAGAGAGAGTCAATGTTTTGTTTGTTTGTTTGGTTGGTTGGTTGTTTTGTTGTTGTTGTTGTTGTTTGAGACGAAGTCGGCCCAGGCTGGTCTCGGACTCCCGGCCTCAAGCTATCACTCCTACCTCGGTCTCTTAAAGCGCTGGGATTACAGGTGTAAGCCACCGCGCCCGGTCTACTCCAGATCTTTAAAATCGCTTTTCAGCGCCGGACGACTCCTGGAGTGACCAGGTTCTGAAACGCGCCCTGGGTCTTGGCGAGAATCTGAACAACCACCGGGGTAGAAGAAAGAGGTGGACACTAGGGCCAGGCGAGGTAGAACCGAACCCGGTAGCTTCCGTTTTCCGAGTTGGCATGCGCAGCCGCACCTGTCACGTGGACGCGTTGTCACGTGACTGCGTCAGAGGCCCTCGCGTTGGAACCGGCGGACGTGGTTGGCGTTGTGGGGCAGGGGGTGGTGGGGCAAGATGGCGGCACACCTGTCCTATGGGCGAGTGAACCTAAACGTGCTGCGCGAGGCGGTGCGTCGCGAGCTGCGCGAGTTCCTGGACAAGTGCGCAGGAAGCAAGGTGAGGGGCGGGAGGCAGCGACACCGCCCTCGCCTCCCTTGGTCCGGCCTGGCTTAATCCGTTCCCTGCCGCCTGAGTTCGCGGTTTACGAGGTCCCCGGAGCTTCCAAGGAGACGAGCCTCAGGGCCCTTTTACCTGCACCCCTGTAGCGATGAAGCGGGGGCCCTGGGCGTACAGCCTGGAGCCGGAGTGGCACCACGACTGTTTTGTGAGAGCAGAGTAAGCCACTGTGATAGCCTGGCCGCTGATGAGCCGCTTTACGTCAGGTGTTTCCTCTGCTGCCTGCCGAGGCACCGGACGGGTGGGCGGTCCAACAATGTGGATGGTCCAGTGTCCATTCATTACGGGGATCATACGTGTCAGTAGAAATCGTACCTTAGAAACTCTCTTGAAACACCAGCACCTTGCAACCTGCTGCTCACGCGTGTTAAGAGAGAAGTTGTAATCATCTGGGCTTTTAACCTGGCCTCCTAAGATAGTATAACTTATCTAGTAGCACCGTTTTCACAAGGGAGACAGATCAGAGATTTTATAGGATTTGTTTTAAATGGTGTCACCTGTCCTTCATCCTCTTAGGGTTTATCTGTCACCCTAAGTTACTGACAGTACAACTGTGAAAAGTCGAACTGGGGAGCCTCAGTCTTGGAGAGAACAGAACCCGAAGAGGTAGAGTAGTTGCTAGCAGCCTTTGAGAGAAAAAAACAGGCTACATCATAGGGGTCCAGTTTCAATTCAGCAAAGGATGCTGAAATCTGAATAGCATCATAGATTGTATCAATGTCAATTTCCTGGTTGTAATATGTTACCCCTGGAGGAAACTGAGCAAAGTGTACAGGCGCTCGCTCTGTATTATTTCTTTTAATTAAATGTTAATGTACAATTATTTAAATAAATATTTTAATTTAAGAAAAAAATTTATACTGGAGTTAAACAGTAGAAATACTCATAGGGGTCCAGAGCAGTGACTCGTGGTGTCAAAAAGTCCTAGGTTGGAGTCCTCACTCCCTTACACTCTGTATGGTCTAAGGTCTCTATATGGCCTTGGAAAATTACTTAAACTTACTGAGCTTTTAAGAATTTTCTCTTCTGGCCAGGCGTGGTGGAAGAGGAAGTGCAATGTAATCCCAGCACTTTGGGAGGCCACGGCAGGCAGATCGCTTGAGCCCAGAGTTGGAAACCAGCCTAGGCAACATGGCGAAATCTCATCTCTACTAAAACACAAATTAGCCTGATGTGGTGGCACACACCTGTAGTCCCGGTTACTCCAGAGGCTGAGACAGGAAGATCACCTGTGCCCAGGAAATCGAGGCAGTGAGCTGTGATTCCACCACTGCCCCGTCTCCAAAAGAAAAAAAAAAAAATCCTCTTTTGCCAAAATAAGATTTGTGATACCTATATCGTAGGTTTTAATTCTGTATAATTGACAATTTCCATATAGCTCAATTTGATAAATCCATGACACAGATATACAAGGATGTGAATGTGGTCAGAAGTAATTAAATTTTTTTTTATTCGGCTGCATGCATTGGCTCATGCTTGTCATCCCACCACTGTGGAAGGACAAGGTGGGTGGATCACCTTAGGTCAGGAGTTCGAGACCAGCCTGGGCAACATAGTGAAACTTCATCTCTACTAAAAGTACAAAAATTGGCCAGGCATGGTGGTGCATGCCTGTAATCCCAGCTACTCAGGAGGCTGAGGCAGGAGAATCACTTGAACCCTGGAGGCGGAGGTTGCAGTGTGCTGAGATCACACCACTGTACTCTAGCCTGGGCAACACTCAAGACTCTGTCTCAAAAATGAAATAACAGCAAAACCCCAAACATTTTAAAATTCTTTTTTCTGCTTTATTGTTATTTTAATCTTGTAACACTAAGAGAAAATTTTTTAACCCAGAATTTGAAGCAAATATTCCTCCTGTTTATGATAGGCAATTTTTTATTGATATTGTTAAAATTCCTGATATTAACTATAATAAGAGAATGTTTCTCCCCTCTTACAGGCAATAGTTTGGGATGAATACCTAACTGGACCCTTTGGCCTGATTGCACAGTATTCACTATTGAAGGTAAATGAGCTATTTGGGTTTTGTTAGGGGATTAATAATTCTGTACTTTAGCAGTTATGATAGGATTTTATATTTCTTCCTGAATCATTGGTTTGCAAAGCTGTTTGGTCTTTATAAACACTAATACTAGTGCCCGATTAACATTTTGTATCCATTGGCCAGTGATTCTGTACTGATTCTAGCATTATATTATGTGACCATTACCTGGTGTCTTTGATAGTTCATCATGTAAGCATCATTTGAATGCTGATGCAGTAACAGTGGCTTTAGGGCCGGGCGCGGTGGCTCATGCCTGTAATCCCAGCACTTTGGGAGGTCGAGGCGGGTGGATTACG